ACCCATAATAAAAAAAGACAATGCCTGGGGGTATTTGCCCACTCTACCTTCATGCCTAATTTCATGTTATTTGGACCCAAAAATGAAGCAGTTGAATCCATTTGAAGAAATGGCAGGAGAAGGAGGAGAAGGAGAAGAAACATGAGGAAAAACAATATGTCTTCACCCCCTAGTGGTGAAGCCATAAAAAAGATAATCCCTACCTACTGACCCTAATTTTTTCAGGACTGAAACTGAGGAAACACAACATTTTTTCCTAGACCTAACCAGTGAGAATTACTCCCACACATCCTCCATACAGGTTGGGCCCTGGTGACATTTTTTCTCCTTCAATCAAAACCAATGATACCATTATAATACAGATCAGTCACACCGCAAAATATCAATATTAGCCAGTTATAATGTGCAGCATGGGAGCCATATCAATAAATCATGTCATTTGCTCATGTCAGGAACAACCGGTAATGTACACTTTGGGGAACTGAACATCAATCAGTTCATCTGTCACAGTCACGTGCCATCTGCCATATCAGTACAGTAACAGAAATGCCCCAAATATCTTTTTCTAACATTCCAAATTAGGCCACACCGACTTAATTTTATGGATGACATCCATGCACGCATTGATTTTTGCCTGTTCTCCCCCCCCCCCAAAAAAAAGATGACGTCCTCTGAGGCTCTAACCTGCAGCTGGGTAGTCCATGGTAGTTTAGCTACGACAATACGGAGGCTGTGGTATTACTCTGGAGGATGGCACCCAGGCTACCAAAGCTCCACAACTCAAGAACTCAGTACATACGTACAGCGCCGAATCATAAATTTCACAAAAAGCCGGCTTGTCATACATGCTTGTCATGTATACGTTGCTACGTACTGGTGCAAATTCACAATTCCAGCTTAGCCGGAATGAGAGAAGGCCTTTCAGATGCAGCGAACAACCAGATGTACCTGGCCCTCTCCCGGTACATTGAGAGTACACACCGCTTCGATGTGCTCTCATAAAGACACTTCCAGCTTCACTCAACCACAAGGCACCAACTGACCAAGAGTTAAATACCTAGAGAGACTTTTTGACTCTGAAGTTCTGAACTGAACCACGCGACAACGAGCACCAAGTGACCACGTCTAGCAATATATTAGACGTTAAACAAGGACAACAACAACAACAACAAAGCTTAGTGATTTAGTAGCATTTTTATTTTGGGCCGCGTTTTTAAATTTTTTATTTTATTCGCCAGCGCGCACTAGTTTGGGGGTCTTCAGAGGATGTCATCCATAAAATTGAGTCGGTGTGGCCTAACATTGACAATGACAGTCATTGAAAATTAGAGGTATGGAGCATACAAAACACTGTCCAAAAAGAAAGTATTACTTGTATACTTCATAGGCGGTAACATTCAATGCAGCATAAAAATTCACAAAAACATGTAGCAATAACAACAACTCAGACATATTTTTGTAGAAAAAAAATCTTACATGGCTCTTCAACATTAATATTCATTGAATCTACAGTGATTTCTAGTGCTATATACTGATAGCCACTTTCACTTGATTGTTCAGGGGGTCAATTACCCTACCAAATTGAATGTACCGTAGTTCTTGAATGGCAGCCACTGCTATCCAACATTGTGCTGGATAGTAATTAACGAATAACACTTAGTCTATATAACACTGTGTTACTGTGTTAGTAACAGTGACCAAGAACACGAATCTAGCCTCTACCAGGCACCGCGGATCGCTAGAAAAACTGTTACAGTAGTAGAAATTGGCTGAAATAAAGAGATAGTATACCAGAGAAGATCCCGGGCCATAGAAGATCCGAGGATCGCGAATTGGATCTTCTATGGCCCTGTATACTATCCCTTTATTTAGGCCAATTTCTACTATTTTTCCAGCCATCCGCGGTGCCTGGTACATGGTACTCCGAGGCTACACTATCAGGAATGAAATGTATAGATCTAGGAAATATACAAGACGAGGCCATATTGACTGCATGCTAACTTGCACCCACAGGAAGTACACGTTACTTCTGGTTTCAGCAATAAAATTATCCCACGCAAAAATATAAAATAACATTGTGAGCATGATAACCACCTGTCGTATTAAAATTATGCCACGCCCACATTTAGGGAAAAACAGGTGTATATTCCAGGCCCCTCAAGGTAGATTTATATTATAAATAAATAAATAAATTATAAAATATTGGCATGACTCGGCACTATAAGCAGGCATATTCGTACCGACAATGAAATTAGGCGGGCAGCCAATAATTTTTCCCCTGCCCGGAAGTGATTTTTCAGCGGCCGGCGCCAAAATCATGGGGCGGTAAAAAAACGCCTCGGAGTCCGCGTACCCGTACAACCGGTGTCCGCTGGGGGTACCTACCGGGTATGGCGAGGTCCTTGAGCGGCGCGGTGTGCAGGTTGGGCGGCAGATCTGCCATCCAGTTGGCGAAGCGAGTGTGGAGATCGCCCGCTTCCCCGTCGTCCAGCCAGGGGGACCGATCGGCAGCCATGTTGGACATTCCCTCCACGTCTGACCTCTGACACGGAACAGTCTACTCTCCAAGCAGAGGTTTGGGCTTCAGGGGTGCCAGAGTATATAGTGCAATTTTACAGAATACAGTACAGTGGTATTAGTGTACAGTGCAATTTTACGGAATACAAATTGCAGTGGTATTAGTATACAGTGCAATTTTACGGAATACAGCGTAATTTTACGGAATACAGTGCAATTTTACAGAATACAGTACAGTGGTATTAATATAGTATACAGTGCAATTTTAAGGAATACAGCGTAATTTTACGGAATACAGTGCAATTTTACAGAATACAGTACAATGGTATTTGTATACAGTGTAATTTGACGGAATACAGTACAATGGTATTTGTATACAGTGCAATTTTACGCAATACAGTACAACCGTATTAGTATACCGTGCAATTTTACTTGTATACAGTGCAATTTTACTAGTAACTTGCACTGTATACTAATACGATTGTACTGTATTCCATAAAATTGCACTGTATTCCGCAAAATTGCACTGTGTACACTTTATTGTTAGGTTCAATGGCGTTAAAAAAATACTACTGCAAAAAAGAAAGCCTGATAGGTCACACTGACTTGATAAGTTAGGCCATGTTGATGTGATTATATGGATGACATCCTCTGGGAACCACTAAACTGATGTGTGAGAATAAAAAAATGTTGTCTTGACATGAAATCTATCAGTTCAGTACCAAGGACAGATCCTGACTCAGAAATATTATAGTTTGCAGAAATTTTAGTTTGTAATCATTGCAGTACCAAGGAGAGATCTCGACAAATGACTTCCTTTCAAATTTCAATATTAATTTGCACTTGAAACGTCGTTGACAATATTTTATATACATTTTATGTAATGGTTTATTTCTATTTTAATCGCTTAATATGACGTTTTATACTATTAATGTGATGCCCCAATGTCAATTCAGCCTCTGGCTGCCATTTTTGAGACAGTGTTGTTGTGTTTTAATTCAAAATAAACCAAAATATAAATTGATTTGGACAATCTACGACATTATGGTAGAATCGTTTTCCAATTTTGAAAACGATTCACGGCATATACTTGGCTTATTATACAGCTGCTTTGTACGATTGACAGTATGCGGTCAAACTTTTTTTTCGGAAACAAAAATTCATGCACATTGGATGTCATTTATACAATCAAGTCAACATGGCCTTAGTCTGCTTTGTTTAATACATAGACAAGGCCACACCAATTTAGTTTCTTGGTTAACGGATCACGTGAACGGATTCTCCTGTTTCATTTCTTCCTGACTTGCAAAAAAAAATTCGGAATCAACTGCTCATATTTTGCCCTGAACAGTTGAAAACAGTCCTTTTCCTCCTAGTTGTTACAGTTATTCCATCTTTCAATGCAGTGGTATCATTAAAAGTTCAAAATTCATTGTTTAAATTTTGAAGCAGCCTGATGTGTTGACTTCATGGCTCCTATCGTACCATTTTGGGCCAAAATAGGATGCCTAGGCCTGTTTTTATTATGCCCACTCCATTCTTTTTCTAGAAAAATCTGTTAAACAAGAAATTAAATTGGTGTGGCCTAAAGGTGTGATATTTTTTTCTACTTTCTACCTCAAGATATAAATTCTCAGTCATACCAATAACCCACATCAGACAAGTGTAGGAAAACAAAAAGGTACAAACTTTATTTTTTGGGGGTCCAAATCAGCTGACATTTACAGCACTTTGGTGGCTTGACAATAATACCATACGCATCATAGTAAGTCTCAAATCAAGACATATTCCTTTAAGTAAGTGAAACTCCTGGTATAGCTGTGACACAATACATCAGTAAATTGTAGCGGATACAGTACACATTGCTACAAATGTGATGCCTTATATCTTTTAAAGTATATCTACACTTGATTTCGGGCTTTCGTCCTCAACACAGCCACAACACTGGAAAAGTGTGCAACAGCGAATCTCCAAGTAGATGTAAGGAGGGAAAATCAGAGCATTTTCAGGAAGAATCTTCTCTCCCAACTCACTTGTTTCCCATCCCCAGAATGCATTGTGAAAACAGGGGTCTAAACCTCATTTGCATAGGACAGGAAGGCATCGGAATGATCCTGTTGATGTTAAACAGCTTGTTTTTCAGTGTGTTTTGAGGTGTTGGGGCATTTTATGCTCAACATTAATTATTACAATGGTCAAGTAATGGTTTTTGTAGTCAGATTCGACCCATAGTAATTTAATTAACGTTGAGCATAAAATGCCCCAACACCTCAAAACACAGTGAAAAACAAGCTGTTTAACGTCACCAGGATCATTCCCATGCCTTCCAGTCCTATGCAAATGAGTTTAGACCCCTGTTTTTGCAATGCATTCTGGGGATGGGAAACTTGTGAATACTTGGCGATTCTGCGGCCAAACAAACTTCAGAACTATCCCCACCACAAAACATTAAACCTGGTCCCCTTCTTAAAGCCCTGTTTCTCCAAAATCTTTTTAACTTCTTTATTTTCTTTTTACTACACAACGAAAGTCTCAAATGTTTGTCATTAATCCTATTTTTTTTAATAAAACATTTCTTTCCGGCAATCTTTTTAAGTCATACAACAATACAGCTATTATATAGACTTTACACGTATTCCCCTTTTAGGTCACATTTAGAAAAATTCCCTACCAACTCCCAAGAGATGATGTTCTTTTTTTTTACTGGCAAATGCTTCCTCTCAAGTTTCTAGAAAACATCATAGGGACAAACTGATACATTTTTAACTGAAAGAATGCACACAACAATTGAGACTTTCTCTAATATTTGTATAACGTCATGTGGATACAAAGTACAGTTATTAACTACTAGAACCAACACATCCATATAACCAATGACTCCTAGCTCAGAGTCGTAAGAAAATTTTGTGATACTTTGTGGTAGTGATTTTTTTTAAATGACAAAAGTTTACTACAATATACGTTTGTTTCCCACTAAAAACACATATGCAAGCTGCCAATAGGGGAGTCATCACCAACTATGACTAAATTTTTATATTCATAATGCGTGATCATATGATGCAGAACCAGAGATTTTGCTTCCCTAAAATATAGAACCTCCATGATAATGATATTAATATGTAGATGAAAATGGGCCTGTGACTTGTACAAGGGAGATAAAGTAATATACACTACATTTGAAAAGATGCTTTGAATGACAGTTGCTTTTGAACGTATATAGTGAAGTGGTGTCAACTTGTTGTTCCCAAACTGACATAACACACTATGGTGGATAACGGTAACATACAAATTAATTCTTAGTGTTTTGTACTCAATATATGACAATACATTCTCTCGTTTCTGGAAAAGACAGAAGGATATACAGTACTACAGCAAAGTTTCTTGTACGTTTCATCATATTTGAAGGGCAGGCTGAAAAAATTTGGAGAAATCGTTGCGTCCATGTTCTGTCAATAGTTCATCATAATTAAGTTTTTTTAAAGCATATTTCAGTGTTTCAATAAACAGTTACTGATGCTGTGAAGAATATTCAGTCTATGTTTTGGGTCTTTGAAGTTGGCACCAAACTCTTTTCAAGGACAAAATGTGGCTTTCCTCTGTATAAAACCCGACAGTAATGTTCACAGTGCCCCCTATCAACCAATAGAAAAACTCCAACTGACTGCTAGGCCTAAAATGCATTCTCAACTGTACAACTTCATTTCTTGGTGCACCAGACAAGTAACTGGCCTATCTGTCCATATATATTTTTTTCCTACCGCACGTTTTTGATCTTCAACACAAAATTGAACTATAAAAATCACAGTAGTCAAAACCAACCCCAAAAAAACAAACAAACGGCAAGACCACTTTACAAGTTTCAGTTCATCTTTACCCAACAAGAAATTATCCCCATTTACAACTCTGTTGAATGTCTGACATAACACCATCCATACTGTAGTGTACAATTTGAGCCCCAAGTTAGCTCTACCATACGTTTTGCTGAAATTCTAGTTCTACAACAATGGGAAGACAGCCCTACCGTAAATGCCTTCCATAAAAGTCCAAATTTTCTTAGGTCTTAAAGGCACCCAATGTAATTTTCGGACGGCGAAACAAAAAATATTTTGGACTAGGAAATCTGTCCAGTATTGACATTTACTGCTATTTCTTATCACATTTTCATCAGAATTTGAAAAAGCCGCAAAACATGCTACTTTGTTCTTTATTTTTGGGTACCACCCATAAATAGCTAGAACCAGCATATGATATGAAACAAGCAACTGTTTTCCGTCAGTAACATCTCATTCTTAGTTATATCAGTATGCCATGGGATAGAATTGATTCAACTTTAGTTACATGTACTACATTTAAAGAATGACCAGAAAACTTTGAAAATTCAGTTTTGCCGCCCTGAAATTGCATTGGATGCCTCCTATATTTAACTCACCAATAAAGAACACTGCGAAAACTCTCGGAGGAACCCTCAAAAAACATTTTCCCCTCTGCTATTCCCTTATATATGTCTTTTTTCCCCCCTAACATTTGTCTAGTTTTAGTAAGTAGATCACGGGTTGACCAGCACTGCTGACAAGTTGTGAAGAGGAGTGACCGTTGGAAGGTTAGGAGATGACCACTGTGTGTCCAGTCGACCCTCGTGGAAAGAAGCAGTATTTACAGAATGTTGGAGTCACGGATTGTTGTGGGTTTTTCTTCATGCTCCCTCATCGTCATCTTCATCCAAATCCTCCTCACCTGTTGAGTGTGTTACACTGGTTAACATATGCATTATAGCCACTACTGTATGGCCCAGGGAAAAAATTATATAACTAGAGAAGTAACATTTGCAAAGCAAATGCATAATGCTCGTAAGAAAATTCAAACTCTACTACTGGATCAGTTACGGATTTTTATTTCCGGACGTTTCAAGTGACATCCATCACTCTTCTTCAGCGTCACAAATGAACAGAGAACCGATTCACTCTTATATACAAGTAACTAGAAAAAACGGTTAAACAACAAGGTCCGTAAGAAGCTTTATCATGTAAAAGAACAGTTCACTCAATATACCTTACGGTTGTTGAACAGGTTTTTCTAGTTCTAATTACCCGTATATTGAGTAAACCGTTCTTTTACATGATAAAGCTTCTTACAGACCTTGTTGTTTAACCGGTTTTTCTAGTTACTTGTATATAAGAGTGAATCGGTTCTCTGTTCATTTGTGACGCTGAAGAAGAGTGATGGATGTCACTTGAAACGTCCGGAAATAAATAAAAATCTGTAACTGATCCAGTAGTAGAGTTTGAATTTTCTTACGAGTATCGTTTACCTGGATGTCTAACCTTCATCAACGTATCAAATGCATAATGTTTACATTCGGACATGGTCTGCTCTGTTTAATTCTTACTCAAACACATTCACATACATGTACTACGTGTACAATGTATATGGTGACAGGAGCAGAGCAGACCATGAAATTGCAACATTATGTAACCCAACACCAGTCACCATGGTGACAGACGTCAACAAATCATGTCATTGGTCAGGTCAGAGGTTACTGTTTGGAGAAGAAGAAACAGAGCAAAAACAATATGTTTTCCATCCGTAAACATAAGGCCTCTCCAATTTAATTTGTTGGTTCTCGGATTCGCCTCTTCATTTTTTTCTGATTTGCAAAAAAAAAAAGATTCTAGTTCTAAATAAACTCAAATATGCTCATCTTTTGCCCCAAACAGTTGAGGAACGTCCTTTTCTTTCTAGTTGTTACAATTTTTCGATCTATCAATGCAGCATTTTGATTTAAAAAATTGTTCAAAATTCATTGTTTAAATATTAACCCAGCATTTTGTGTTGACTTCATGGCTCCTGTCGTTGCATTTGGGACTATAAAAGGATGCATAGACCTGTTTTTATTTCTATTTTTCACGCTGTCGCTTCATATTTTTTCTGAACAAATCTGAGAAACAACAAATTAGATTGGTGTGGCCTTAGGAGATGACATTTGCTGTGGAACCAGTCACTGAACAGACACATGGGTAATACAGACAACACCGCTGGCAAAGCAACAATGTAAAATGCACTAGTCTATCAAAATGGCAAAATGATGCAAACATTCAACACAAAATATACGGCAGGAGATGGGGGGGTGCAGCTGGAATGGTTGTGAGGTGGTTGGCTGTAGAATATAGCAAATAAATAATAAACAAAATGGTGGCAATATGGCAATGGCACGTACATATGATTGTATTCTTCCTCAGAGCTTGTTTCCGCAAAAGACAACTCCGTAGCGAAATTCATGATGAAATTCAAGATTTTTTGAAAGCAACATCTCAGTAATGTGACAGAAGATGTAAAAACAAGTCTTCACTGCTAGTCTCATTTTGAAGTGCTTCTGATATTTTGTGTGAAGCCATTTTCCATGACATGTCAAGCATAAAGTACAAAATACGTAAAAAATTACTATCTCAAATGCTAGTTATGTTAACCAAATTGCATCTATGTCACCACTAATTTTAATCTACATGTACACCTTTTTGCAGAGCTGCAGAATATGTTGCACATGATGAAAATTATTTTCTTTGACTCAAAAGTTATAGAATTGTGGACAGAAAATATATAACAGTGTACACAAACCAAAAAGTACACACACCAAAAAGTTAAGGGCTTTGAAAATGTACTTTGCCACATTTTGAGAGGCAAATCATGGTGTTTAGAATGGTTGTTGTTGGTCCTGTTGATTTTTGTCAACTTTGTCCGTCAAGGCTGATGGGCTGGTTCCCAGCACAACAGAAAAACGGGTGCTGACTAGAGCCCTGGTGTGCCCTCATAAGGCCACACTGAAATTAATTATATAGATGACATCCTCCGAACACCCACAAACTAGCGGCTGAATAAAAAAATTCCAGCCAAAAAATGTTGCTAAACCACAAGATTACAAAGCTGGTATTCCGAATTTCGGTCAGTTCACAGCTTTTACAATCCAGCACATACTGGACTTTTGTGTTATTTACATGTATGAGTCGGCACTGAGTACTGAGTTCTATAGTTCTGTGGAGCTTCAGCAGCCTGGGTGCCATCCTCCGTAGTTACCGCCAGCTCCCTGTTGTCACTAGCTACCATGGACTACAGAGGATGGCACCCAGGCCAGAGCCTCGGAGGAAGCAAAAATCAATGCGTGCACAGATGTCATCCATAAATTAAATCTATGTAGCCTAAGGACTAGTGCTGTGTACCGGGCTGTTGGACCAGTTCCGGACTTGTAAAAATGTTTAGGTTCAAGTAAAAAAAATCTTTAAGTTAAGAACCAATTCCGGACTTATTAAAAAAAAATCCCATTTCACAAACCACCTAAACCTTCCATAAACGACAAAATCTGTGCTGCAAAATGAAGAAAACATTGCCATCGGGCATCGTCAAGTGTCGGCCTCTATGTTATGTGGCCACAGTTTTGCCCAGACAACATTGCAAGGTTGCCAACATGTAATTTTGTACACTACACGCCATGGGTTAAGGTCCGGACTTACTTGTCTGGAAGTGAACCTAAACCTGTGGACTTGAATCTGGACCTGAACCTAAAATTGGGTTTAGGTACACAGCACTACTATGGACATGAAGCAGCGGTATGCAGTTGACAAGCTCTGAACTACGTGTGCTGAGGTTTTGCCATGCAAGCAGAACGGATGGGAGGGGGGGGGGGGGTCCACCACCACCGACGTCCCCTCTCACCTTCCGCCGCTGCCACCTTCCTGTCTGCACCCCCATCTCCTCCCTCCACTTCTCCCTCATTCGTGTCTTCCTCACCTTCCTCACCCTCCTCATAAATCTCCTCACCCTCCAGGTCATCATCTGGGAACAGGAAGAAAAACTCATTGGACAAAGTAAGAATCTTGGACACAGAATTGGACATTTTTGCACAAGGGGTTAAAGAGCCATCTAGATCAGGGCATTACAACCTTCCCTCAACAGAGACGGGGGGCACCACAGACTTTATGCAACCTATGATCCACTGCTCATCATCCTCCTCATCATCTTCATCATCCTCCTCATCAACCACCACCACCCTCCATCCCCCTCTCCCTCCCCAAACTCTCCTTCACCTTCATCATCATCCAGGACCTCCACCCCCTCCTCACCATCATCATCATCCTCATCAACATCCTCATAATCCTCCACCCCCTCCTCATCATCCTCCTCATCAACCTCCACCACCCTCCATCCCCCTCTCCCTCCCCAAACTCCCCTTCACCATCATCATCCAGGACCTCCACCCCCTCCTCCTCATCATCATCCTCATCAACCTCCACCACCCTCCATCCCTCTCTCCCTCCCCAAACTCTCCTTTACCTTCATCATCATCCAGGACCTCCACCCCCTCCTCATCATCATCCTCATCATCTTCATCATCCTCCTCATCCAGCTCATCCTCCTCATCCACCACCACCACCGAGTCATCTACTCCATCCTCGTCTTCATCACTGAAACACAAACATTTCATTATGTTTACCGAATGAAAACACATTATTTTTCCTACATTTCTTCTTCTTCCGTTCCAAACACTGACCTCTGACCTGACCAATGACCTGATTTGTTGTCTCTCACCATGGTAACTGGTGTAGGTTACATAATGTTGCAATTTTATAGTAGGAGGGATTTATACTCCTGTCTGACTATATATATGAATGTATTTGTGTAAGAATCAACAGAGTAGACCATATACGAAGGCTAACATTATGCATTTGCTTTCTAGTTTTATTATGTTTTCGCAGAGGGAAAGGCCAGTGGATCATACATTTGACGAAGTTTGAAATGTTCAACCGGAAATTCATGGTGAGTCTCTTTGCATGTTGGAACATCTCTTTTACAAAAGAATTCTGAAGCAAAATCACTGCGTATGGGAATGAAGTATATCCCTCTAGCTATAAGAACAACAGAACATTCTTTAACCCGTCAAATTTTAAGAGAAAAAAAAAGATTTTCCAATGACAAATGATGCAGAAAATTGGCCATTTTCACATGAAACTACATGTAGAAAGGTAACATTTGCAAAGCAAATGCATAATGTTTACCTTCGCATGTGGTCTGCTCTGTTAATTCTTACTCAAATACTTTCAGAGATATATGGTCAAACAGGAGTATAAATCCCTCCTACTATAAAATACAACATTATGTAAACCAACACCAGATACCATGGTGAGACATGTCAACAAATCAGGTCATTGGCCAGGTCAGAGGACAGTGTTTGGAACAGTAGGTTTTCCTTTGGTAAACATAATTAAACACATAATTTAGCAACCAAAACAACTTCTTACCTGTCATCATCCAGACCATTCTCCTCTACCTCCACATCAGGTACCAGGTAGTACTGGAGAGGGTTGGGCCACATGTCATCCTTTATCACCTATAGAAACAACACAAACAGAAACACTGAGAAATATGTTCATTATACAGGGCTCGAAATTAAAGATGGTCCAATGGCCACTGACCACTAAAATGTAGGCTGGGACAACAGAAAAGACACTTTGGGACATTTTTGGGACAATAGAAAGATAATCAACATCAAAATGTCAGCCCTTCTTTTGTTTATCAGGAACACATAACGGCTTTTGGATCCGGAAAAGTCCCCCCGAATAAACGGTTTTTGGCTCAGAACCAAGAGTTCCTGGGTTCGAATCCTGCTGTGTCACTGATCTTGCGCCCATGAACTTTGGCTACTGCGAATATAAAGTAAATCACAGTACTTATGGCTTGAATTCACCAGATATTGTTTTTCCTCATGTTTCTTCTCCTTCTCCTGCCATTTCTTTAAATTGATTCAGTTCCTTCCGTTTTGGGCCAAATAACTTGGGCCAAATGAAATTTGGCATGAAGGTAGAGTGAGCAAATACCCCAGGCCTTTTTTTCATTTTTGTGATACAGGCTTTTAGAATGGTTTTATTTGAGCTTTTTGGCTGTGTTATAGAAAATGTACTATAGCAGTATGTTACCGTATTTGGGCATGAGTCATCAGCATGGCATGCAGAGCAAGCAACCAATAGGTATGCAGCTTTCCTCTATTCTTCTTGCTGATTGGCTATTGGAATTCAATTGGGTTAACTCAATTGACACCTGTACAAAGCCATGCCATACTGACAGTATGAACTGTATTCAAGTGCTTTGGTAGGTATGTCAAACTTTCCTGCTCCAGTATTGGAATGCGGGGCATAAACGCTTCTTTTTATCTTTTAAATCAACAGTTTGCATTATGCAATTAAAAATCCAAACCAATAATGCAAGGGATAGCTATCCAACTGTTGTCATTTCATACAGTAACTATAGTTATATCAATGTAAATTGTTTTCCCTTGTATTTCTCATTCTTTCCCTGCCATGTCGTGAAATGTGGTGAAGTCATACTGAATTTGCTCCAAAGCAAATGTCGGCCCTTCTACGCCAAAAAATAGTTACTCAAGCAACTGGATATGATTTTGAAAACGTCAGACGTTTCAGCTAGTATCCACTAGCTTTCGTCAGTGACTGAGAGACCAGAGGGGAAATGCAGGTTTATAAGCACTACCTATTGATTGATATGCAAATGAAGTGAAGACAAATTTTTGGAAGTCGAAAAAGGAACAAAAGTCAGACAAGTCAAGACAAGATGATGCAAATTAGTCTGAAAGCTCCTGTTGTACAGAACAGGAGCTTAAGTGTTGTCTGTCCTCGGGGCTGGGAGTGCCAAATCCCAAATGCCGGAAAGGTCGGCCCTTCTAGTTTGCTGACATCTTACCTCTGCAATGTCATCACAGGATGCGTCTGTGTTGTCTGTGAACCAGAAGAAGAAGCTTCGTGGCTCCTCGTGTAGCCGTTTCCTTCCCTGCTTGGTGATCTCCTTGTTCCGCTTGGTCAGGTCCATCCCCTCCTTCCACTTGATCTCCGACGACTTGGAGGCGGGGTCACCTACAGTATCAAAGTCTCCATAAGGGACAGCCCGCATGGGATTGGGTTCGGTCAGGATGGGGGTGTTTTTTACAGCACAGAAAGAGGGGAAACAAACAAACAAACAAGGCAGAAGGTTCCTACATATAATGACTTTGCATAGATGGACTAACTTCTAACACATATATCATCTGCATCTAAGTCTCAAATACAGTTGTTCACGTACTCCAAAGGACTTGAACAAATGCTAACTTTTCAGACTTTTTCATGGCATTGGGGTATTATGTTACAGTAACATTTTTGCACCGAAAAATGAAACATTTTAAAAATATTTATGTGAATGTAGTTTACTTCCACTTCAGAACATCTTTGAGCAATTATGACACATTTCTGATAATAATGGTTGAAGCTAAAGCGGTCCACACAAAACACACTCAGTTTGAGGTGCCACCACAAACTACCTGTATGTAAACAAACATGGCTGACAGCCGTGATTCCAGCTTTTAAACAAACTCGTAAGACGTTATATTCTGGCACCTTCACTTCCTGAATTATGGTACTAATTTGCAATGGAGTAGGGTTGTTTCAACTTACTTTGTAAAGAAATGACCAGAAAATTTCCTTTTTGTATCAACCTAATGTTACATATTGCAGCTTTAACTTGTGCAGAAAGTTGGCAGGATAACAGCAAAAATCATTTGCTATAGTCTAAAGCAGGGTTCTCACCAGGATTTTTTCACAGCGTAGGGGTCAGGTATAGAAGGGCAACTTTCTGCGGCGCGAGTCACGCACCGAGTCCCCAAAACATGGGCCTGATATTCTCCCAAAAACATTTTGTAACTCATATTAACCACTTATTATTGTTTATTGGGGGACAGACTTTGTTTTCCCTCTGTTATAGCTTCATTTTAAGTTATATTTTCATTTTTTTAAAGATTAATGAAGCTTCTGCCCCCAAAAAACCCAACGCTGGTTGAAACACAGTGTAGGGGGCTAAATCACAGCGTAGGGGGTCAAAATCACAGCGTAGGGGGCCCCTACGCTCAAACAGCCTGGTGAGAACTATGCTAAAGTATGCAGATATCATAGATTTAATATATCAATTTTGAACATGAACAGATACTTACCTGAAGACCCGAGGTGGAACTCTTTCTCAATGACTTCATTCTCAAAGAAAGGGTTGTCATCGAAGAAGAACTTAATTCTGTGGGAGGTGGCAAGAAGAAGATGATGGTAAATGTTAAGACATTGACTTGATTGATTGACCTTCTAATGAAGACAATTCAATGATGACTTAGTCCTAAACACATGACCACAGTAGGACCCTAGGAAAAAAATGTTGTGTTTCATTATATTTCCCGACCAACCCTAGAAAAAACTGTTGACCCTAGCCTTTTTGTGTATCGACCCCTGCAAGGGACAGAATTTTTTTAGAGCTGATCGACCTTTTTTAACTCCATGATCTGACACCCGAGTGATGAAACATTGTACAATTGGTTTTTAAAACATTGACATTGAAACTATAAGTGTCCTTATGCAAGTTGTACACTTTGTTAAACTGTATTGTATAACATGGATCACTACAATTATTGAATGTAAAAGAAAAAAGAAAAAAATCCCTACCTACCAACTATTTTTAGGACTGAAACAGGAAACACAACATTTTTTTCTAGGCCCTATGCAGGTTAAAAGACAGTATAGGGATCTAAATTGCGTAGGTGGGCAGACCTCGAAATGAACTTTTTCCTATTGTTCTAGGACTCACAGTCCCAAAAATAAATTTCAATTGTCCTGACGTGAGGATGAACTGTCCCAACCTGCTTTTCAGGAAGTGAACTTGAAGTCAGCTTTATTTTGCTTATGTTCTGACTTCCAGGCGTGCTATAATTGCAGAGTAAACGGGAAATTTTGGGGAGCTTTTCGCGTCTGATGCTGATTATTTTCCTTTTGTCACAAAAATATCCCAAATTGTCTTTTTAGTTGTCCCAGCTTAAATTTTAGTGGTCACTGGCCATCGCGACTCCGTTCATTTCGAGCCCTGCCCCCTACGTTCAGAAAGCCTGTTGAGAAGACTGACCTGTATCCTGACTTGATGTCCTCGAACTCTTCCACCTCCAGTTTAGTCAGGTAGTGCAGACACTCCTCATCCTCCTCTGTCAGTAGGGCTGACACCTGGGGATGGTTCACAAACTGGACACAGGGTCAAGGATTGGAACAACTCAACATGCAGGGAGCTTCCATTTATCTATTTTGGTTGGGTTAACGTTGTTAAAGACAGGGCTGCCCACTACTGAAATTGCATGTTCCAACAGTAGAAGGCGTTGGAAGATTCCATTGCTGCATGGGGGTATAGACCATTGGAACACTTCATATTTTGGACAGGGTTCATTTAGGAACAGTCAATTTGCGCGGGAGGGTGATAGGTCTACTTTTGGTACGGAGGATGTGGTGAAGCCATCTGCTGCATTTGCTCCCGACCGAATGTCGGCCTTTCTTGTTCCTAATTCATTTTCACACTACTTTTAACTTAAAGTTCACAATTTTCACGGTCACTTCTGTACTGTGAACTTATCATCACTAACAAATCAGGGCTTGAATTACTGAAGTACACCTTAGTGCACCCAAATTTGGAGCTGTGCACCAAATTTTTTCTGTGGGTGCACCAGTACACCCCAATATTTTCATAGGTTTGTGTATGTAAAGATTTTAAATGAATAGTAGTATACAGCATATCCTTAATTAATATCTAAGGGTAAAAAAAAATAATAAAATCATTGTTATAGTACTTTTATTTAGATATGAAACATAATTATTTTTGCTGACATTCTATATATGGTGCACCCCCACATTTTTTTGCGCACCTAATTTTTCAGGTTGGGCAGCCACCAGTGCACCTATTCCCAAAAATGAATTTTGTGCCTTGACTTGAGGTTGCAAAAATTGTCCCAGTTACTTTTTAGTTACAATGCTTTGATATAGAAGAAATCAATTATTACCTGTTCTACCTGGTAACAAAGATTCAGCTCAAAGTAATGAACACACAACACTCGTTCTCATTCAAATGTGCAATATGCTGTTGCCAAATCACAGACCTAATCATTGATGTCTTCACTACACTCACTATGAAAAATGTACTGCAGCACTAGGTTTGATTGATGATTTGGAAGAAATTGTGGCTGGAATGGTTGGATATTTCCCCCTAAAAAGCAGTGGTCTCCCGATAAGACAGTTCTGACTTCTAAGTGGTAAATTTTTCTTCTTCTTAGGCCAAATCAATTTAATTTCTTGGTTAACGGATTCGCCCGCTTCATTTTTTTCTGATTTGCAAATAAAAAAAAAATTCAGAATCAACTGCAAAATGCTCATATTTTGCCCTGAACAGTTGAAAACAGTCCTTTTCTTCCTAGTTGTTACAGTTATTCCATCTTTCAATGCAGTGGTATCATTAAAAGTTTAAAATTCATTGTTTAAATTTTGAACCAGCCTGGTGTGTTGACTTTATGGCTCCTGTCGTACCATTTTGAGCCATAATACTATTACAGTGCTCACCAACTATTTGCATCACTGATATTGGCATAAACCTGGGATCTGCATAAAATTCTGAAAACCCAAACCATTTCCCATTCACTACATTATAAATTGCATGGCATAATTGCATGAGCTGTTATGACTTTAACCTGATATTGGACTAAAATATTTCCAAGTCAATGGCACACTGACCCAGAAGTACGTGAAAGAAATACATGTAATTTGTTGCGCATCAGCAAATCCGCATGAAGTCCATTGTTATTCATTCATTATCATTCTATATATTCGCCATATATAGCTCGAAAGAGCATAAATGTGCAATAAAGGTCTTTCATTATCACCCCTGCACCCTCCATTGTCATACACTTTCTCTGTTGTCACTTCCTTCTGGACAGGTGAGAACCCCCAATCACCCAATGATGATTGTGAGAAGAAGTCCTTTGTTCCTTTTTGGTGTCATTGATTGGGCTGTTGTTTTAGCCTTGGTAAGCTTTTTCCCAACACAGGGGTAGACAGTATGAAGGTGGAATGTGTCTGATCTTCTATCTCCATGTTAGCCCTGTTCATTATAAGTTTCTGAATGCGACTTGAAGATTAGAATATGGTACATGTATGTAGTTGTGGGTGAAAGTGAGTATATAAATACCAATAACATCATGTTTGTGGTTGTTTCAATTGGCCCCAGCCCAGTATCATCCATAACCAACTGACCTCCCCTTCCTGTCGGTCGTGTGGACTCTCCTAAGGTTATTGGACTAAACCTGTTATACTTATAGGAATAAAATTCCCTGACAAATCGTCCATGCAAATAACAGGAGAGCACTGTATAAATAAAAACAGGCCTAGTTATTAATAGGATGCCTAGGCCTGTTTTTATTTTTTCGCCCGCCCGCTTCATTATTTTTCTAGAAAAATTTGTTAACCAAGAAATTAAATCGGTGTGGACTTATCCTTCTTTTTTGGAGAAAGATTTTTACGGCTGGACGCCCTTCCTACTTACGCCAACCCAAACCCTAGTAGGGCCCAGGATCCCTCTAACTTCTAGTGCAGGCAATTTTCAATGTTACTACTAGTACCTGTAGTAGTAAAGTATATCAAGCCCTGAATTGACACGTGTGTGCCCCCTTTCAAACAAAAGGGCCACAAAACGGCTATTTTTGGCCCTAGTGTTTAGTTTCGTAGTTCCTAGAAAGTCCTGGCATATTGCCAGGTTTCCATGACCTACATTGAACCAGACCTGGGCCTCAAAAGGTGCAGACTGAGGTATGCTAAACCCTTGTAAACAACAAATGAACCAACCAGAAATCTTCTACAATACTAGCACTGTTAGGCCACAGTAAGTAAATTTTATGGATGACATCCTCCACAGATTCCAAAACAAGACAAGAAAACAAAACAAGAAGGGACAAAAAATTCCCACATTTTCAAATTTTGAGTTCAGGAATCTTCTTAAACAAGAAATGACACCTTTATTGTGCCAAGTTTACTTCCAACTATTACGACATTCATTAAGTTTTACCTGCACTAACCTGCATATACCCAGTACATGGACCAGTGCAGGTTAGGTACAGGTAGACATTAGAAATACCTGCACAACTCCAATTTTACCTGCACTAACCTGCATACACCCAGTACATGGACCAGTGCAGGTTAGGTGCAGGTAGACATCAGAAATACCTGCACAGCTCCAATTTTACCTGCACTAACCTGCATATACCCAGTACATGGACCAGTGCAGGTTAGGTACAGGTAGACATCAGAAATACCTGCACAGCTCCAATTTTACCTGCACTAACCTGCATATACCCAATACATGGACCAGTGCAGGTTAGGTGTATTTCGAGCACTGTCTATGTACATGTAGTTTGTACCATGCATGTGTAAAACATATGTGTACATATCTATTAGGATTTTGAATTATGTACAATGTAAACTTTATCTAAATGTAATACATCATGTGTATCTCTGAGTCCAGCGTGCAAAATACCTGGTTGCCCAGTTGCCCCGGGCAACCAAATTTTACTTGGGGCAACCTATTTTTGAACCTAGGTAGCCCAGTGTGCTACCTGAATTTTAAGAATGCACTTTAGACCCCCCCCCCCCCAAATTCATGCCACATGGCTTGCACCACTGTATCCGGCAGATGCTTTTTAATTTTAGGTATCAATGGCTATTACTAGTATCAGTTAACTGAAGGCTGTTAGAAATATTGTCAAAGGCTTATGTATGTAACATTACTTAATTTGAGGAAAGTAGTAACTTATAGGTGGGTCAACCTAAAATTCTGATGGGCAACCTAATTTTTGGCATTGGTTCAAAAAAGTATTTTGTACACTAAAGTGACCCTTACCTCTTCCCTTATATAACCTCACTGAAAATTGGCTTTCAGTTTCGGGTCATGAATAAACAATGGTTTAAACAAACAAATCCAGTTTCTGTTTGTGCTAAGGTAGTAATTTACACAGCAGGAATGGCATAGGTCTGTTTACATGTACATGGTTGAGCTTCAGAAACCATAGCATGACCAAGGATTTACGGTACATGAGCTTTTATAAAAGATTTTTTCACTGTCAAAAAGTTTGTAATGCAAAATGTATGTATTGTATGTATGCAAACTAGGTACACCTACACTCTTGAAAAACGAGTTGTTCTCTAACATTAAGCCAATTTCATCTGAATAGTATCACTCTTTTGTAGTAAGTTTAAGGGCCTTTTACTAAAAGTTTTAGTTTTTTTACACAGTCAGGGCTCGAAATATTGGATGCATATGCAGGTTAGTGCAGGTAAAATTGGAGCGGTACAAGCATTAAAAAAAAAGCCCCAAAAGCTACGATAGGAGCCATGAAGCCAACATACCAGGTTGGTTTATAATTCAAACATCGAATTTTGAACTTTGAATCAAGCCAAATTGCATTGATAGATGGATAAACTGTAACAACTAGGAAGACAAGGAGCTTCCTTTAACTGTTGGGGCCAAAAAGAGAGCATTTTAGGCAAATTGGAGTCGATTCAAAACCTGTATCCTTTTTTTTTTCAAATCATAAAATAATTAAGAAGCGAATCCGAGAAACAATTAATTGAATTGGTGTGGCCTTATACCAGTATGTTTTTTTTCCTCAGGGCTCGAAATACTTCTTTTTCGTTTGCATGCAAAATTGCGTGTTGGCAGAAATTTGTTTAAAAAAAATGTACAATGCAAAATTAAAGTTGCATGTAATTCACCCTTCAGTCTTCTCTAGATATGCTACAAGATATATAAGAAAATCTCCAACACCAAGTTCCTACCATGTTCCTATGATAGAGGGAAATTTTTTACACAGTAGCAGGTGCACCTGGAAGAAATGAGGTGCGTACCTGCAAACCTGATGAATTTTGATAGAGATTTTCGTGGTTCAAAAGTTTGCTATCCGAGAAAAATGGACATGAACTATACGTTCCGGGTAGCGGCAGGTGAAGCAAAAAGAATGTCAGCAGATTATTTTTTCACGGTAATGACAGTGGGGTCGCGTGGCGTAGCCGTGGCATGTTCGGCTCAGAACCAAGAGGTCCCGGGTTCGAAACTGAACCCTGTCACCGATCTTGTGCCCTTGGCACTTGACACGACTTCCTCACTTCACTCAAGTGAAAATGAGCATGCCAGAATGATCATTATCATTATTGTGGGCATCAAAAAGGAAACAAAACCAAAACAATAACTTCCCAGTACAGAAATGACCGCGAAAACCGTGGATATAAAAATACCGTTAAAAAAATCGTGACTTACAGTGTAGCGGCACCATCATTTTGAAGGGAACACTGTCACCAATGTTCAACATTAGTGATGACATACGTATTACCTAAACCCAATTTTAGGTTCAGGTCTGGATTCAAGTCCAGAGGTTTAGGTTCAGTTCCGGACTTACACCTAAACCCATGGCATATACAAAATTGCATGTTTGCAATGTTGTCTGGGTGAAACTTTGGCCACACAACATGGAGGCCGGTACTTGACGATGCCCGATGGCAATGTTTTCTTCATTTTGCAGCAAAGATTTTGCAATCTACAAAAGGTTTTAGGTGGTTTGGAAAGAAAAGGGGTATGTGAGATGGTCTTTTATGGTACTAAGTCCGGACTCGGTTCTTGACTTTTAGAGTTAACCGTTTTTGGGACTTGAAACATTCTTACAAGTCCGGATCCAAGTCCAGTGAACCGGTATGCATCACTATTGAACATGCAAAATTGTTTTTACATGCAAATTTTGAAAATCATATGCAAATTTCTGATTGATACATCAGTACATCTATCTACACATTCCCTCCTCCTCTTCTTGACACCCCAGACTCCCTCCTACAGCATCCAATCACCTTGACAGCATGCTCATGAATATTCATGAGTCCTCATCTTGCTCAATCCTTCACTCTCCGCAAAATCACTGGAGATCAAAGAAAATCTAGCCACGCTACGGAGAAAAATCGCCCTCCCGATACCTCCAGGGGAGCTACGGGCGCGGTATGCGGGGTGAAAAGGGAGTAAAGACCGTAGCGTGGGATTGGAGCGCGCCGGACTTGCTCTAACAACAATGGTGGGGCTCTCACGTGTAGTACTACAACTGTATGGACAAAGCACCACATCTCAATCACGCTGCAGAAAATATATAAAAAAGGATACTGCCGTAACCCAGAAGTTTGGGATTTTCTGGATGAGGTCGTTCCTCTTCTCGAAGAAGGGCTTCCTCAGCTTGTTGTACTTCTGTTCCACCTTGAGGATCTCTTCCGACGCTTGCTCGTTCAACGCGTCGATCTCATTCTGGCAGGCGTCGATGTCTTCGAGGGCCTTCTGGGTCTCGGCGTCGTACTCTTTGCTGTCGTCCCCTTCCGAAGACACGGCGTCCTGTGGGTCGAGCTTCCGCACCTTGTGAGGCGAGGGCTTGGCCTTATCCACGCCAGCGTCCGACATCTGTGGGTCTTCGAGAAAGTCGACGAAACTTAAGAATATTTAAACCAAGAATAAGGAAAACCCCAAGTTCGCAACTTGCAAGGAGAGAGCACTGCGCAGGCGTAGTGGGCAGTTTACCCGGTAGGCTTCGCGACGAGTTCGCGCCTTCCACGATTTTTCACTATCTCGATGCTGATTGGTCGAATTTCTTGAATCGTCACAGAGTTTTACGATTTGGACCAATGACAGCGGCGCTTTTTCCGCGCCAATTAAACCTCCAAAATCCGGGCTGTTTGTTCCCAGAGAATCCAACATGGCGGACACTAGTTGCGGTTTGCTACAAGAAAGCTTTCAACCCAACCCACCTAACGAACTCACCACGACCTCCCCCGCCATTCTTACGACAGTGCAAGTCAACACGGACAATCTCACCTCCTCCGACCAGGTTGGCAAGCGCAAGCGGGTACAGCACGACTACAGGCGGCTCTCCAACTCCGGCTACTGGGATGACTACAAGGAAGCGAAGCCACGACGGTTTTCGGACTCCTATACGTCTGATTCCGACCTCTCCCCGACAGCCGCCCCACGACCTCAGCGACAGCGGCGACTGAGCCTGAGAAGGGAAGACGGAGACTTCGAATACGGTACGACTTTCGTCCGCAACGAATTATTGAAGCCTCGATCGTGTATTTAAAAAGCCACATCCTAAATCGGTCACCCAACTTGCTACACGTGAAAAACCCACACACTTTAAACCGTATATACGCATTTTCGTTTTTTGACTTATGAAGGTTATCAACATACAATTTGGTTTACAATATAAATATATATATATAGAACAAGTTTTCATGTATGAGTCGATGATATTTTTTTAAAATTAAGTGTTATTACTTGAATGATTTGTTACAAGAGGTAATATGACACTCAAGTGGTGGGGATTTAAAGTTCTCAAATTACCCTAATATATAAGTTAACACTTTCTTATACTTTTTGTTAATTGGATGTATTTTGGGAAGTGTCATAGTGCTTAAATTCAGATGTGTATTGAAATTGTAGACACAAAAGAGTCGCAAATACAGAATGGTTGTGATTATTACTACTGAAAAATGGTCTCAAAAAGACTCAAATATACCCTTAAACATGGGAAGTATATTTTAACACTTTCTTCTAATTTGTTGAGGATTAGATGTATTTTGGGAGGTTTCATAGCACATGCTTAAATTCAGATGTGTAGTATAATTGTAGAAACAAAAGTGTTGCAAATCAAACAGTTGTAATTATCAGTATCACTATATCAGATTCATTACTGAGAAATGGATTTAAATGCACATGTAGATATACAATTACAATGCACACACAATTTGGGTGATAAGGCAGAATTCTAACAAGTTTGCAAATTGACAAGCACTAATAGGTGGTCTTGTGGTTTGGGTTGTTGACTCAAAATCGGAAGGTTCTGGGTTCAAATCCCTGGCAATCCCTACTGCTGTGTCCATGGGAAACACCGATTTCCTCACTTGAATCAGTTGTAAATGAGTACCTAGATTCTGTTAGTGACATCCTCTTGGATAGAGTAAAGCGGGATGGGGTTTTGTGCGCGTGAAAAATTTGCGCGCGCGTGAAAAATTTGCGCGTGAAGATATGCAAATTAGCCAATTCCCAAGGGACTTTAAAAACTTTTTGCTGTTTTAAGCTTAATAGTTGGAAAAAAAACACATAAAACAGAATTGAACATCATTTTGTTGCATTCTAGACTACATAGCAGTATTTTGTCAATATTTCAGTGATTTTGAGTGATTTTCAAAAGTTAAATTTTCACGCGCAAAAAAGGTTGAAATTTGCTCGTGAAAGAATTTGTTTGCTAAAATATGAAAGCAAGCTTCTAGAATGGAGAAAAGCTTCAGATTGTTACATTTTTCCTAAACCTTATACTAGTAACTTTTCCATGTATTTCTTACAAATTCAAGTGATTTTCAAATGTTCAGATTCTATGGAAAATATGCAAATTAGCCTATTCCCAAGGGACTTAAAATTTGCAACAAAAATTTTGAGTTACAGATGAAAAATTATACCCTAGGATCACATTTTACTGCATAAGAATTTGGTACTGCATATTTTCTGACATATTTCAGGGACTTTTAATTTTCACGCGCAAATTTTTTTACGCGCGCGCAAATTTTTCACGCGCAGAAAACCCGTTCCCAGTAAAGCCGGAGGTCCCATGTTAAGGAGAGCCACACCACTAGCACATTAAAGAACCCACCACACTTATCAAAAAGAGACCATCCCGCTCACGGGTGTGAGTGCTTCAAACCTTACAGTCTGGTCTCAGGTTTGACATATTTGATTGAAGGGTGAAATATCTTAAATTTTCATACATTGTGTGTCATATTCAAAAGGCCTAGGAAAAAAGTTGTGGTTCCTGTCTCAGTCCTGAAAAAATTAGGGCCAGTAGGTATCAATCAATCAATAGTCAGGTAGGGATTATATGATATCCTTTTCTTCTTTTTCTTTTTATTAGATTTTGGGGATCTCTAGTGATCCATCTTATACAATACGGTTTAACAAAATAAAACTTGATTAAAGACACTTTTATTTTGAATGTCAATGTTGGAAAATTAACTGTATAGCATTTCATCACTCAGGTGTCCGATCATAAAGCTAGAAAAGGTTGATCAGCTTGCTATTGAAAAGTCCCTTGCAGGGGTAAAAAAAAACTGTCTAGGGTCGGCATTTTTTTCTAGGGTCTGTCAGAAAACACAACATTTTTTTCCTAGGCCTGAATAGTGTTTGGTTTGTTCTGGTGAAACTTAGGCCACAGCAAGTTAATTTGTTGGTTCTCAGATTTTTCTGAAAAATATGTGGCCAAAGTTTCACCCAGACAACATTGCAAGGTTGCCAACATGCAATATTGTAATTTGTATATGCCATGGGTTTAGGTCCGGACTTACAAGTCCGGAACTGAACCTAAACCTCTGGACTTGAATCCGGACCTGAACCTAAAATTGGGTTTAGGTATGCAGCACTATCCTCAACTGTTGGGGGCATATATCAGCATTTTTGAGTTGATTTAGAATTAAATTTTTTGCAAATCAGAAAAAAATGAAGAGGCGAATCCGAGAGCCAACAAATTAAATTGGTGTGGCCTTACCATCCCTATTTGTTCTTGCAGATTTTACCGGAGATTTGCCCATGAACAACGGCTGCACCTCGAGCGGCATGAACCTTCCCAAGAGACACCGCAAGAAAAGGAGACTATCTCCCGAGGCTGCTCAGAAGGAAGACGCCGAAGTACAGGTCAGTCTTCTCACCCCACTTGACTCCAGAACTCCTCCTGAATGTCGAGACAAAGGAGTCAATACTGAGAAGACAAAGATAAAAACACCTCAGAAGGAACATAAGACTGAGGTTAGTCCTTGGGAGGGAAGCAACATGGTTAAGAGTGAAATGTTTCAACCCAAAGAAGTGTACAACGCGTGTACGAAAGAGGAGAAAACTGTTGATGTACCGCTTGTAAAAGAAGAGCCGCTCGACGCGGGAAAGGAAGAGCGAGAAAACGCGTGCGAGGATAAGGAGGGATTCTCGCACAACGAGAGACTCGTACGATCGAGCACGGCATCGTGGGATAGACCGCTGGAGTTCGCAAATCTGATCCACATCGATACCCACACCAACGGCGGCGCGTCCGTTGTCCACTCGTACTCGGACGAAATCTCGCACTTGTCAAAAGACGAGATGGACAGGTTCGTCCACGAGTTTCTGGAAGAGACGTTCGGGGAAGAATCGTCGGGCACGGCGCGTCACGTGATGGGGATCGTACACGGCGGTGCGGCGTACCTTCCCGACCTGCTGGAGTACTTCAGGTTCCAACACCCGGGCATCACGGTCAAGATGCAGCACGTCAACAAGTCGGACATGCTGACTCTGACCATGGAGGAGTTTCACCGGCAGGTATGAATGAAAGGTTTATTCGTCAAAAACACATGGCAGCCACAGGCTGAATTGCGTGTTTTACAACAATGACAGATTTAAAAAGACACAAAAAAGTACATGCTTGACCACATTAAAAGTAATTCAGGGAAGTGATTTTAAAACCTACATTATATATACAAATCGGATATATACAAGTCTCAGCGTTCCATGATCATACGTAAGTTGTTTGTTATCACAGTTACTAGTGATGCATACCTAAACCCACATTTAGGTTCAGGTCCGGATTCAAGTCCAGAGGTTTAGGTTCAGGTCAGGACTTTTGAGTCCAGACCTAAACCCATGGCATATACAGAATTGCATGTTGGCAACCTTGCAATGTTGTCTGGGTGAAACTTTGGCCACATAACATGGAGGCCGGTACTTGACGATGCCCGATGGCAATGTTTTCTTCATTTTGCAGCAAAGATTTTGCAATCTACGGAAGGTTTTAGGTGGCTTGGAAAGAAAAGGGGTATGTGAAATTGTCTTTTATGGTAATAAGTCCGGACTCGGTTCTTGACTTTTAGGTTTTTTTGGACTTGAACCTAAACATTCTTACAGGTCCGGATCCAAGTCCAGTTAACCGGTATGCATCACTATCCATGATCATACATACTGTTTGCTATCACTGTTACTGCTTGTTTAAAAGGTACACAGGACATACAGCGCGGGAACCTACAGGAACGGACCCATGCTGCAGATCAGCCTGGTGGGAACCGTGGACGAGGAGGTTGGAGACTACTTCCCAGACTTCCTGGATGTCTTGGAGGAGAACCCTTTTCTTAAGGTACGTCTTGTACTACCCATATGCATGTTCATTTTACATGTATGCAGTCTTGTACTAGTTCTAGCCAGCATCCATCCATCTTTCCATCATTTGATGGAATTTTGCCGCTCAGGATGGAAAAAAATTTGCCCAATCTGTCATCTTTGACAAGCAAAATCGGTGTGTAAAGTTCAAAGGTACAAAAAGAGATGTTGTTAAACTAAGCTTAGGCCACACCAATTTAATTTCTTGGTTAACGGATTCGCCGCTTCATTTTTTTCAGATTTGCAAATAAAAATAAAAATCCAGAATCAACTGCAAAATGCTCATATTTTGCCCTGAACAGTTGAAAACAGACCTTTTCATCCTAGTTGTTACAGTTATTCCATCTTTCAATGCAATGGTATCATTAAAATTTAAAGTTCAAAATTCATTGTTTAAATTTTGAACCAGCCTGATGTGTTGACTTCATGGCTCCTATCGTACCATTTTGGGCCATAATACGATGCCTAGGCCTGTTTTTATTTTTATTTTTTTTCGCCCGCCCGCTCCATTATTTTTCTAGAAAAATCCGTTAACCAAGAAATTAAATTGGTGTGGCCTTAGTCTACCGCCAGCAAAATCTGACCCCCAAAATACAGAAAATAGTATTTGACAACATCAAGATGTCAACATTTTTCCAGACCCCCTAAAAATTTTGCCTTCAATGCTCGAAATATTCCATCAAACAAAAAAAAACGGAGATGACAGAAAATTTCCAGTTGGCTAGAGCAATGCATATGCATGTATGCCTGAAGACTTGAAACACAGCTTAAAAAGCTTGGAACACAGCTGTCAGCCGTGTGTTTACATTCTGGTAGTTTGAGGTGGTACCCCAAAATAAACGTGCCTCATGTGGGCTCTTTCAGCACAAACCATCAACATCAGAAATGTGAGATAATTGCACAAATATGATGAAAAGTGGAAGTAAGTTACAATCAAATAAATTAATTTTAAAATAATGCATTTCAATTTTTGGTGCAAAAATGTTACATACTGCCCTGGCCCTTGAAGAATTTTGAAAGCTAAGTTCTATATATAAATACATAGTTTTGAAGTTCTTAGATTGATTACAAAGATAAGAATTTGTGCCATAAATTGAATATACAATTAGGAACATATAAAAAAACTCCCTCTTTATATTACCAGAGGTTTTGTCCATTCTGTCCCAATAATATTAAAGATGAACGTTAACATTTATTATGGATTGTCCATTATATTTCGATATACGCTCAAAGCTGTTCAACCTTCTCTCCGCCTGCTCAACAGAACTTGTAACGGTTACATTTAATGCCATAGATAAATTCAATTTCATTCTAGAAGGTAACAAGTAAAATCTGAGATTTTATACCTTCGGGCTTTGTATTGTATATTTCTATATGTTGTTTGTTATGTATAGTTGATGGTGTTGAATTTTATGAGTTTAGCGTTCCCGGTTGTAACACAGGTCAACATTTTCATCTGCAGCCCATAACATGTACTCTCGAACTTATGAAATTCTATTTAATCTGCCGCAATGAACTCGTAATGAAACTCAGAATGACAACCGAAACCGTTAAATCAGACGTTAAAAATAACGGCTGAAGTAGCAAGCCATCCTCATTGTCACTTCCTCCATTTTCCGCCACTCTTCGTATAAATCGGGGAAGTAAAGGCCTGAATCCTCGGTAAAAATGCACGCCGTGAACGTCTGAGACCGTATACCGCGGTATTTGTAAGTTAGTAGTCGTAATATACGCCGAAAACATCCAAAACAAAGATTGCGAGTATGTTGACCCCTGACCCATTGACCAACCCAAGTTGCTGCCGATCACGCGTCCTGTGAACGCGTACTAAAAATACCCTCCAAACAACATTTGTTGCGCCTCGCATACAGAAGATGCATGTGCACAACAACAATTGTTGCGTGCCGCAAGACTAAGAATTTATTGAGACCCGTCACCCCTCTGTGCGACTGTGGACGAGACCGACTATATCTGACACACGCAAAAGATCGACGGTCACAACCACTTTCTCACTCAAGGGGTGTTCTGGGGCCATCAAAAGGCTCCATTTTCACGCCCGAAAACACATATACAAGAAAAACAAAAGAACGTGCATCATCTGCAGCCCAATAGCAAAACATATACTGAGTCTCAAAAGAATCCGTCCACTCAAACGCGAGGAATCGCTGCGAACGTGAAATTCTAAAACTCTCACAAAGCCCTTCCGCGGAAGGATGTCTCCTCCCCCGGAGGCAATAACCCTTACTGTGTACAAATAGGTAAATATATTATCAAAGATTGTTTAGATCTTAGAACAAGAAGTATAAGTTGCTTCTTATATTGTCTTGTATGTAGGTTTATTTTGTTTTATTTGTCTGTATGTCTACATGTTTAAGACCTTACGGAAGTCACTGTACTTTTTTTGTGTCAATAAAGTTGTATATCCTTCCCCCTTTAGGCCACCACACCGTGGGGAGAGCTGTCCTGTACTAAGTTGACCAGCCGTAACCTTAGTAATGATGGCCCTATCCTGTGGGTCAGGCCAGGAGAACAGATGATCCCTACTGCTGACATCCCCAGGTCTCCTAGTAAACAGAGGAGAAGGTTTGTACAACTAGCCCAAGCATGTTGTTGTCATATGTTGTTACATGTGGCGTCGTGTGGTGTAGTGGTACATCACTGGACTATGAAACGGGGAGACCCGGGTTCGATTCCGGGTCGTACCCGAACAAGTCCGAACATGCACCCCGACGTTGTACCCTTGGGAAAGGTACTTTACACGACTTTCCTCACTTCAACCAGGTGAAAATGAGTACCTAGCTTTGGTTAGGGACGTCCCTCGGATAGGACGTTGAACTTAAATGGAGGTCCCGTGTTTGAGAGAGCCACACCCCACGCACGTTAAAGAACCCACCGCACTTATCGAAAAGAGTAGGGGACCTTCCCGGTGTCAGTGGTTCAAACATTACAGTCTGGTCTCAGGTTTGACATCTTTGAAAAGGTGATAGTCACCTGTTATGTCAATCCTTCCACAAATGTGGTAAATCTTCATAAATAAATAAATAAATATGTAAATATTGTACATTTGGGAATGCATCTATATCAGCGACACCTGTGCTACAATGCAATGTGAACCAGTCAGAATTGCCCAGAGGAAGATGACAGACGGTCACCGAAATATTGGCTGAATAAAAGACTTGGTTGTGTGGAAAGAGTCTCTTTACTTAGTGTCTTACCAAGCTGAGGAAACTTTCCTGTTTCCCGACCGACCCTAGAAAACTGCCAACCCTAACCTTTTTTTTGTGGATCACTGCAAGGGACATCAATTTTTTTAGCTAATCGACCTTTTCAAGCTCCATGATCTGCCACACTCTTAGTCTTAGCATAATATTGTTTAAGAGCTTTTATGAATTACTACATTACTTCATTTACTAGTACTTATCTAGTATATTCTAATATACAATGTACCAGTACTTATGATTTTGCATGTATTCAAAAAATTTCATGGTTTGCGGAACAAAGGTGCCTAAAAAAACTGCAAACATGACCGAGAAAAAATTGTGAATTACAGTATTGCAGCTCAGATCATGACCAAAATTACTGATGGTTGAAGTGAGCAGTTTTGAAGTGTGTGTGATTGGTAGTGCTGTGTACCTAAACCCACATTTAGGTTCAGGTCTTGATTCAAGTCCAGAGGTTTAGGTTCAGTTCCGGACTCGTAAGTCCAGACCTAAACCCATGGCATATACAAAATTGCATGTAAATGGCAACCTTGCATTGTTGTCTGGGTGAAACTGTGGCCACATAACATGGAGGCTGACACTTGATGATGCCAGATGACAATGTTTTCTTCATTTTGCGGCACAGATATTGCAATCTATGAAAGGTTTTAGGTGGTTAATGTGGAAAGAAAGGGGGTATGTGACATGTTTTATTTTTGTAATAAGTCCGGAACTGGTTCTTGCCTTTTAGTTTTTTTTGGACTTAAACCTTTTTTGGACCTAAACATTTTTGCAAGTCCAGAACCGGTCCAGCGAACCGGTACACTTTCTCATGATGTTGCGTCAAACAAAACTGATATGACAAAAAAAAAATTGAGGCTGGCTAGAACTCCAAACTAGCTTGGGGCAGGTGAAAAATCTGTGCATGGAAATATGTAAATTAGCTGATTCTCACTTGGGATTTAAATATTTTTTGCCCTTTGTCACTTTAAATTTTACTTAAGTCATGAAATAGAATTATCGTATTGTTGCATTCGAAAATCTAATGTACATAGCCAAGTGTTTTCAAACACAAGGTAAAGTTTTCATGTCCAAAAAAAGATTTTACTGATGGGTTGTTACCAATTTTGAAGTGTGTGATGGCAAACTCAAAACTCTTTGTTACTTACACAGAGGTGGAAATGAGCTGAAGAATCTGACGTACCTACCGCGGGCTTCAGAGCCGCGGGAAGTGTTGTTCGAGGACCGTACGAGATGTCACGCCGATCACGTGGGACAGGGGTTCGACCGGCAAACCACCGCAGCGGTCGGCGTACTGAAAGCCGTTCACTGTGGACAAGAGTGAGTATTACTATTAGACCGCACCAATTTAATTTGTTGGTTCTCAGATTTTTTCAGAAAAAATATAAATCAAATTTTGTTCCTTGCATATGATGATGAAGACATGCATTCAGACTCTGAGAGTGTAAAATCAAATCTTTTTTTTTTTTATAACGCGTTTCAGGCTCTAAATGATAGGTTTCGCCGGAAAAAAACGTCCAAAATTACATTATACGTGTAATGTGTGGATTTTTTTTTTAAAGGTCGGGAGTATTTTTCTTGCACTTCTAACACCTCAGAGGGACGTTAGGAATGCAAGAAAATTATTTCCGACCATTTCCAAAAGAAATAGCGACTTTGTTAAAATTCGCCTGTATAACGCGTTTCAGGCTCTAAATGATAGGTTTTGCACGGAAAAAAACGTCCAAAATTACATTGTATGTATAATGTGCGGATTTTTTTTTTTTAAATCAAATCTTTATTCAACATCAACATGGCAGACGTGCGGATTGCTTTGGGCACGTCAGAATTACATTGACATTTTACAATCATCAATATACAAACATCATTACAAAACATAGATTAAAAACTTCATCAGCATTTAAAAATTATTATCATTTACAATCATACATCATGAAGAATGCGTAGATTAAAATAGTAACAATTTCATAGTTATAAAATACAATATATATATATTTATTCAATCCATATCACAAGTCTTTTACGGCTCTCACAATGAAGGAGTTTTTGTGTCTGTCTGATCTGCTTAATGGGAGCTTAAACTGATTGCTGTACGTGTTCTTCCTAAGATTATACGCCATGTTCTCTCTATGTGGGATAAAGTCATTGCAGGGGTTGGTGGGGTGTTGTAGTATCCGTTTCAGTTCTCTCAGTGATGCCTCCCTGAAATGTTTGTTCCTCCCTGTGTTGTAGGGCCCAGGCAGACAGAGAAGTAAAGGATGTGGTGTGTTTCCATGCGAAAAGTTTCCTGGACGTTACAGAGAGATTACAGCTAGACCTGCATGAACCACCTACAACACAGGTAAGTTTGAACAGTTACAGAGAGATTACAGCTAGACCTGCATGAACCACCTACAACACAGGTAAGTTTGAACAGTTACAGAGAGATTACAGCTAGACCTGCATGAACCACCTACAACACAGGTAAGTTTGTACAGTTACAGAGAGATTACAGCTAGACCTGCATGAACCACCTACAACACAGGTAAGTACAAACACTGAACCTTCATCCTGCTAAGCTAACTTTATACTGTGACATTGTAAGCCTCTACCAGGCTCCGCGGATCGCTGGAAAAATAGTAGAAATTGGCCGAAATAAAGGGATAGTACACCAGAGAAGATCCAGCCGGCCATAGAAGCTCCAATTTGCGACCCACGGAGCCTGTGCGGAGTCGCAAGCTTCAAACGATATAAAATTAATCCCCCTATTATTCGTACAAAGAAACTTGATCAGCGCTGAAGATCATTCAAGTCATAAACCCGCCAGCGCCCAGCGGGAACTCAGCCGTGTGTGTGCACTGTGGCTGTGTCTGGGACAAAGGTCAAATAGAGACTGACAGCAAAACGCTCGTGTCAGGTCCGTCACGGACGAGTCGGAGAGCAATAAAAGGGGTACTTAACCACTTTGCACCAATTAGATAGCGATTAGTGAACTTCAAAGAAGCTTGCGACTCCGCACAGGCTCCGTGGGTCGCAAATTGGAGCTTATGTGGCCGGCTGGATCTTCTTTGGTGTACTATCCCTTTATTTCGGCCAATTTCTACTATTTTTCCAGCGATCCGCGGAGCCTGGTAGAGGCTATGACATTGTTACCTTCGCCAAGAAGGTTATGTTTTCTGCGGCATGCGTGTGTCTGTTTATATGTTTCTGTAAAGGCGATAACTTGAGAAGGCTTAGATGGATTGTCTTGATATTTTGTAGGTCGATAGTTCTTCATGAAACCTCATGATTAGATTTTGGGCCCCCTGGTAGCTTCTTCTGGTACTGCAGCTGGGCTTCTGGTTTTGATATATGTCATGATCTGGACATTCTACTAGGTCACAAAATTGGGTGGTACGTAGCTCTTGTGCTTGGGAAGATGTGACATGAGACTCAAGGCCTGTATTATCTTCTAGAAATCTAGATCTTAAAGGTACTTGGGGGTTTACTAAAAACATGATCACTCGGAATGACCGAAACTCAAAAATCCTTCTGTCCATGCTGGGGTGACGCGGGTTGAAGGGCATGCGCACAAGTTGCTGGGTGAGAGACCTCAAAATTAAAATGAGCTAAAGAACTTTAAAACCCTTTCTTGGGTGGGATTTTTGTTGAATTCTTGGCATTTTTGTGGTGGATTGTACAGTGTAGGGTTGTGAGTGAATGTTTTTCCATGAAGTTGCCTTGTTATGGGCTTGTCTGTTGCCATACACCCCTCCTGCCTAATGCCTTGGTATCGACCTAGAATATGGGGTCAAAGTGCATGGGTTCTTATAAACAAGGCTGTACCTTGAGACTAGCCGTCCACTTTTTTCCGAAACTTGTTGTAGGTACATATTATTAAATTGGCTAACACATGGAGGTGAGTTTGTGTGACAAAAGCTTCGTAAACTAGAGATATGATGCCCATTTTCATGTCTGATTTAGCATATGTTTCAATGGAGAACCCTTTCAATGGTGTCACCCCTGCTACAGTGTATCCAATGGGTGGACGACGCCAAACTGAACCAGCTGAGGCGGGACGGGGTCCGCTGGTCGCGCTTCCGCATGTACGACAACGACATCTACTTCATCCCCCGTAACATCGTGCACCAGTTCCGCACGGTCAGCGCCTGTACCAGCATCGCCTGGCACGTCAGGCTCAAGAAGTACTACCCACAATACAACACACAGGGGTCAGAGGGCAGGAGTGACGGGTCAGATACTTTCAACTTTCAACTTTATCTACCTTTTAGGCCACACCACTTTAATTTGTTGGTTCTCGGATTCGCCTCTTCATTTTTTTCTAATTTGCCAAAAGAAAAAGATTCTGGTCCTGAATCAACTAAAAATGCTCATATTTTGCCCCCAACAGTCGAGAAAAGTCCTTTTCTTCCTGTGTATTAGTTTTTCCATCTATCATTGCAGTGGTTTGATTAAAAGTTCAAAATTCATTGTTTAGATATTAACCCAGCTTTTTGTGTTGACTTCATGGCTCCTATCGCAGCATTTGGGGCTATGATAGGATGCCTACACCTGATTTTATTTTTATTATTTTTCACCCTGTCGCTTCATATTTTTTCTGAAAAAATCTGAGAACCAACAAATTAAATTGGTGTGGCCTTAGGTCATATAAGTTCAGTGATAATAGATTAATTATGTAAATAAAAAGCCCCATTTTTCTTTGTGTTGACCCATTCTACTTTTTCAAAGAAATTTTATCTTTTAATATATTAAATTAATGATTGATTCCAAACTTAATCTTTTAAACTCTCAATGTTAATTTTGTGACATTACTGATTACTGGGCCCCCAGGTAAGATTACTGAAATTCGAATGTAATATTTAAAAAAATCACGTTTCAGTGTTCGAAATACCCGTCTGCAGTCTGCAATTTGCAGATAGATTTTCAAGATTGCAGAAGAAAAAATCTTACAATCTGCAATTTTGCAGAAGGAAAAAATAGGCTCCGGATTCAATAGTTTTCAATTAGCAAAGCAGTGGCGCTGTGAATAGATTGAAAACCTGCGCCGCACGAACCTGCCGGCGTTTTTCAGCAGACTGTAATGGTCCCATATAAGGGAATTTGGGGTCAAAGTTGAACGATTTCGACAAGGCGACGAAAGGCGACGATAACCAAATATGGGCACTCGCCATTTCCGATGTTAGATTTCGTCTCCCGGGAGGACCCGACAACTGCCTCGTAAATTTTCGGCAGTTTTCGCTGAGCATTTCCCAGCAGGCAACACGGCAAAGGAACATGGCTCCTCCGAAAAACCACACTCGCCTCGGCATTAATTTGCCGAAATTTCGATGTTTTTCCTTGGTATTTTGCACGATTCAAGCAAAGAAAACAAGTTGATCACATGAACAAAAGAGAAATACAGCACTGGGAACCTAATGGTCCGTTTTGTTGGGCGTTAATTTCTCATTTCGAGTGAAAATTTACGTGCATCACATTGTGACCATATGGTGTAAAATCTGATTTTCGGCCCGATCCGAACCAAGCACGGCCCGTAGACTTGTCCTTTATGATTTCTAGATGACTATCGGTAGCAAAATACAGGAAAATATTGTTGCAAAATGAGAGAGACGGAGACTAAGGTAAACTTCTTTTATTTGAAGGCTGGATTTTCATTTTCCTGGCAGGCTTCTTTGTATGTAGTGATCATCAGTTATTCAGTAACAACAAATATGGATTTTTGTTCCGGTCAAAAAAACCGGTCCACCGACGTTTCGGTTTTTTTGGACCGGACCGATAAAGTTTTACGGTCCGAACATATTTAAAAGATTGATATTTTGAAGAATTTCAGTAATGCTACAGATTTACAAAGCTATAACTATTACCGTTAACGTTATATATATATGATGTAAGAATAGGCATTATTGGTTTCAGAAGGTTGTAATATGGGGGCTTGTGTAGTTGCAGAAAGTGTTTCCAAATTGCAGGACGAAATTTTGACTCTTCTGCAATATTGCAGAGCACTGAAAAAAAGTATTTCGACCACTGCGTTTAATGTTGAACTTTGAACTTTATTCACCTTTATACGGATAGCACTAACGGCAAAGCTGTGTTCAATAAAACAAGTGATTGGCAAAGAAAAATCCTAACAGATAATATCTAAGCGTATCGTCAGAAATAAACTGACGTGATATTTCATAACTGCAGGTCTGATGCAGAGGAGGAAGGGTCGGAGGTCACAGAGGAAGGGTCAGAGGTCATGACAGGTCAGGAGGGGTCAACGGAAGCCGAGAGCCCTGAGGAAACTACAGCCGAGGAGGAAAGTTACCAGTCCTGACATGATGCAGATTTGCACAACTCTTAATGAATTCAGATTGTTTCAGTTCAGGAGAGCAAAAAAGCAAAGTGAATTTTCTGTATTTTTGTTTACTCAGGGGGAAAGATTAGTTTAGCACTAACTAAGGCCACACCAATTTAATCAATTGGTTCTCGGATTTGCCCACTTCAATTTTTTTTTTACTTTAAGGCCACACCAATTTAATTTGTTGCTTCTCACATTAAAAAAAAAAACGAAGCAACAGGGTGAAAAAATAAAAATAAAAACAGGTCTAGGCATCCTCTTATAGATCCAAATGCTATGATAGGAGCCATGAAGTCTTAATCAAGTCACTGCATCGATAGATGGAAAAACTGTAGGAAATAGGAAGAAAAGGACTTTCCTGAACTCTAATTCAGAACCAGAAACTTTTTTTTTGTAAATCAGAAAAAAACAGAGGCAATTCCAAGAGCCAACAAATAAAATTGGTGTGGCCTAAACAGAGATGGATTATTGTTGTTAAGATTGTTCACTGGCTTGTATGTTTTTTATGTGCCTAGTAACATTATTTGACTCGTGGGCCAACTCAACCAAATGTCTTGAGTGCACTAAGGCCACACCAATTTAATTTCTTGGTTAACGGATTTTTCTAGAAAAAATAATGGAGCGGGCGGGCGAAAAAAAAAAAATAAATAAAAACAGGCCTAGGCATCGTATTATGACCCAAAATGGTACGATAGGAGCCATGAAGTCAACACACCAGGCTGGTTCTAAATTTAAACAATGAATTTTGTACTTTTAATGATACCATTGCATTGAAAGATGGAATAACTGTAACAACTAGGCTGAAAAGGACTGTTTTCAACTGTTCAGGACAAAATATGAGCATTTTGCAGTTGATTCTGAATTTTTATTTTTATTTACAAATCAGAAAAAAATGAAGCGGCGAATCCGTTAACCAAGAAATTAAATTGGTGTGGCCTACGCAATGAGTGAACAAGGTTATGTGTAGGGAACAGTTAAGTCTTTCTCCCTTCCCAGCCTATGGTCTATACCTCTTAGGCCACAGCAAATAAATTTTATGGATGACATCAACGCGCGCATTCATTTTCGTCTGATTTTGAAAAAAAAAACTAGAAATTTTCTTGCCCTCTGACAGTGGTCAACATTTGGAAAATGGATGATGTCTACTGCCATGCCGGAAGGTGGATGGCAAATAACTATGAAGAGAGGAGACAAGGAAAGGCTCTGAGTTAAGGTTTTGTTTCTTACTTTGATGCAGTGACATGTGATGTTGGCTGTGTATATGTGATGTTCCTACTGAATCAAAACCATGTGTACAATGATTGAGTCAAGATTTTGAAATGTAGGAACCTTGCTTTTTTTGGCCCGCCTTGTTTTTTTTTGCCTGCTCGCATTAGATTTGGAGTCTGCGGAGGATGTCATCCATGAAATTTACTTGCTGTGGCCATATGGTCTATGCCTTTTACATGTAGATTTTAATCTCTAGGTTTTTTCCTTAGCGTCTCTGATGGTGACACCAGTACTAGTTTAAAGTCCACTCCACTCTTTGACCTCATTAGAAAAAGAAGTCCATGAATGTATATAGCTGTACATGTCTGAGGGTAAGGCCATGTCAATTTGATTATATGGATGACATCCTCTGGGAACCTCAAAACTGATGCGAGCGTGCAAATAAAAAAAGTTTGGCAAAAAAAAAATGACTAAACACAAAGTATGGTATGGCAAATATTAGACTTTTAATTTCTTCGAATTTTCTTATTTCCCTTTGGAATGGATTTTGGCATTCTAAAACGTTACTATTGTTTACTAATAATTTTTTGCAATAGACAATATATATTCGCTCATTTTGCATCTGATTTACAGATTTGACAAAAATTCATGGGCATTCAGATGTCATTCATAATCATATAATCAAATCAACATGGCCGAATTAGGATCCAATGACTCTGTTCCTTGCCAATATGCAGGTTAATTTGACTACTGGTAGTAAGGCCACACTGACTTAATTTTATGGATGACATCCGCTCACGCATTGATTTTCGCCTGTTATTTAAAAAAAAAAAGATTGCATCCACCGAGGCTGTGGCCTGGCTAGTCCATGGTAGTTAGTGACAATACGGAGGCTGTGGTAATTCTGGAGGATGGCACCCAGGCTGCCGAAGCTCCACGACTCAAGAACTCAGTACATACGTACAGTGCCGATTCATACATTCTACTAAAAGCCAGCATGTGCCGGCTTGTCATATACGTCCCTATGTACTGCCGCAAATTCACAATACCAGCTTTGTATTCCTGTGGTTTAGTAGCATTTTTATTTTTGGCCGGAATTTTTTTCATTCGCCCGCGCGCACTAGTTTGGGGGTCTTCAGAGGATGTCATCCATAGAATTAAGTCGGTCTGGCCTAACAAGCCATTGCTTTATTTAATATAATATTTCATTGTACCATCAATGGTCTATCTTGACACAAATGGTTAGGACTTTCAAATGGCAAGTCTTGTACATACTCTAGTGGTACAATTATATTATTGTAGATAATGATACATAAGCCTCTGTTACGTATAGCTTTGAAGTATGAAAGAGAAAAAAAATGAAATGTTTTTTGGTTGTTTTGTGTGAAGGCCACACCAATTTAATTTCTTGGTTAACGGATTTTTCTAGAAGAATAATGGAGTGGGTGGGCAAAAAAAAATAGGAGCCATAAAGTCAACACACCGGGCTAGTTCAAAATTTAAACAATGAATTTTGAACTTTTAATGATACCACTGCATTGAAAGATGGAATAACTGTAACAACTAGGAAGAAAAGGACTGTTTTCAACTGTCTAGGGCAAAATATGAGCATTTTGCAGTTAATTCTGAATTTTTTTGGGGGGGGGGGGTGGCAAATCTGAAAAAATGAAGCGGGCGAATCCGTTAACCAAGAAATTATATTGGTGTGGCCTAACTGTAACTTAGTATTTTTGTCATTCTGTATAGATTAGGCCATGTTGATTTGATTATATGGATGACATCCGCGCGCGCATGAATTTTCGGCCGTTTCCAAAAAATAAAAAGTAAATCGTGCAAAACAGTTGCTAAATGAGCAAAAATATACGATAAGTTGCAAGGAAAACATTTAGAAATGATACCAATGTCGTAGAATGCCAAATCAAAGGAAAAAAGGAAAAAATGTAAAGAAATGAATTCGAAGAGTACATTATTCGCCATAACATATTCTGTGCCATTTGTTCAACCTTCAAGATTTCATAGTGAAAGCAACTTTTTTTTTTGCAAAACTTTTTTTTTATTCGCACGCTCGCATCAGTTTTGGGGTTCCCAGAGGATGTCACCCATATAATAAAATCAACATGGCCTTATTTGTAACAAAGAGAGTAAGGGAGTTTAAGTTCTTATACAAGATAATTGATAGTAACACATTGTACAAAATTTTGACATTTGTTTACTCACGGACCTAGTATATAGAATGAAAATGTATACATGTATTCACTTCATTCTCGAATCATGTAAACATGATGTGAGGTAAATAATAGCCAGTAACATCATGTGCAGTGGTAAAAATAAAACCAACCCTGCACTTTTGTACTTCTCTGCTAGGGGGCGTATTGTACATAGCCATGAGTTGAGTGACACCGACATATTGTTGCTGGCACTGTTGTCACTGTTAGTCATGTAGATTTTTGTACTAAATAAGTTGTAACAACCTTTTTCACACTACTATTTGTGTTAAGAAATTTGTATCCGTGTTTAGCTTGTGATGTAGCCAATAGTATTCTGTCAATCATAAACTATTTGTAATATTTTGCATTCAAATTTTAGTGATGTCTTATTTGTTAAGTTTGATAATAACGATACGCAAGGTTAAAAAAGAAAGATGAACTACTTAGTGAATTTTTATTTTGCAACTTTTGTTTTTGGGTAGATATTTTCAACATAGAATACCCTAGATGTTGTTCTTGTTTTGTTTCTATTCAAGAAATAGCCAATACTATATGGAGCTGTATAAATGACCAGTGTAAATTTGTGATTGCAAACGGTATCAATTTTGCACATTACAAAATATAGTATGACCACTCGCAAAATATTGACAGTAATATTTATGGAGCTATGTATTGAACATTTCCTATTTCTTATATTATATGGTAACTAAAATATGATGTATAATCAAAGGAAATCTCACAATTACATGATGTATGCTATTTATTGTTTGATCAGAGGAAAGTCAAGAGTAGTTGTGATGATTGTGAGTTAAGAAAAGTGTTCCAAGAACAAAGAGTTTGTACTCGTCTGAGTATGTGTTTGTTGCTACATTTTATTTTGGTATTAGGCCACACTAATTTAATTTGTTGGTTCCCGGATTCGCCCGCTTAATTTTTTTCTGATTTTCAAAGAAAAAAAAAATCAGAATCAACTGCAAAATGCTCATATTTTGCCCCGAACAGTTGAAAACAGTCCTTTTTTTCCTAGTTGTTACAGTTATTCCATCTTTCAATGCAGTGGTATCATTAAAAGTTCACAATTCATTGTTTAAATTTTGAACCAGCCTGGTGTGTTGACTTCATGGCTCCTATCGTACCATTTCGGGCCATTATAGGATGCCAAGGCCTGTTTTTATTTATTTGTTCGCCCGACCGCTCCAATATTTTTCTAGAAAAATCCGTTAACCAAGAAATTAAATCGGTGTGGCCTTAGGCATGTTGATTTGATTATATATAACATGGATGATGTCTTCCGTTTCCAAAACAAAGTATTTTTCGACCATACTGTTAACCGTACAAAGCAGCTGTAACATAAGCAAATACTTGCCGTAAATTGCAAAAAAAAAATTGGAAAACGATACTAATGTCGTAGAATGCTAAATTCAATTTCAAAAAGGAAATTAAGAAAATTTGAAGAAATGAAGAGTCCACTAGGAAAGTAACATTTGCAAAGCAAAGCGTAATGTTTACCTTCGCATATGGTCTGCTTTGTTAGTTCTTACTGAAACACATTCATATGGTTAGACAGGAGTCTAAATCCCCCCTGCTATAAAATTGCAACATGATGTAACCCAACACCAGTTACCATGGTAACAGACTGCTTCAGGTCATTGACCTTTTTTGGTTTGCAGAAGAAGAGGAAACGTAGCAAAAACAGTATGTTTTCCTTCGGTAAACATAATTATTATCCATACCATACGAAGTGTATTAATTCTTTTGTTCAACTTCAATGACCACGTAGATTTCATAATGAAGGCAATGTTTTTCCAAACTTTCTTAATTTGCGCGCTCGCATCAGTTTTGGGTTTCCCAGAGGATGTCATCCATATAATCAAATCAACATGGCCTTATCGTAAACTATATATAGCTTTGTAACGCATTAGCAAACTTTATTTTGTACTGACGTAAACGTGCGCAATGTATCTTATCTCTAGAGCTGTAATAACCTTCGTATCTTCTTAGATCTTTTGCTAATATACAGTGTTTTCATCATCGTACACGATAAGAATTATCAGTCATAGTACAACTGTGTTTTTTTAGATAAACAGTAAGATAGCAGTCAGTTAATGTTGTGCCCTTGAACAAAAGTTTCCCTGTGGTAAGAAATGTTTTCAGCTAGATTTTGCGGTCTGATTTCAGTACCTAATTATATGCTTAAGGCCACACCGCCTTAATTTTATGAA